AGATAGATAGATAGATAGATTAAAATCAGATATAAAGATAGACTGATTAAAACTAGATGATAGATAGATAGACTAAAATCAGATATAGACAGTGATTAAAACTAGATAGATGATAGATTAAAAATCATAGATTAGAAAAGAGATAGATTAAAACCAGATATAAAGACAGACAGTGATTAAAACATGATGATAGATAGATAGATAGATTAAAAATCATAGATTAGAAAAGAGATGATAGATAGATAGATAGATAGATAGATCGATAGATTAAAAATCATAGATTAGAAAAGAGATAGATAGATAGATTAAAATCAGATATAAAGATAGACTGATTAAAATATGATGATGATAGATAGCTAGATAGATAGATAGATAGATAGATAGATTAAAATCAGATTAGAAAAGAGATAGATGGATAGATAGATTAATATCAGATATAAAGATAGACAGTGATTAAAACTAGATAGATTAAAATCAGATTTAAAGATAGACTGATTAAAACAAGATAGATAGATAGATAGATAGATAGATTAAAAATCATAGATTAGAAAAGAGATAGATAGATAGATTAAAATCAGATAAAAAGATAGACAGTGATTAAAAACATAGATAGATAGATAGAGTGTTTAGTCCAGCTGATGATGGTGTTTCTCAGCACATAAAATCCACAATAGACTGTTAGAATGCAATTTTGCTGCCTTAAAGCTGAAGTTGTTTACAGGTTGGGTTTATCCTTGGATAGGCTTCATTTGTTTTGAAGTTTCATTTCAAGGTTTGGGCCGTAGGGAATCTTTCTAAATTCTCTCTGTAAGTCTGTATCTTGGTTATAACGACCCTAAGCAATGATCGCTGCTAAAAAGCTTTTTCAGACAATCTCTTGGGTCGGCCACTTTTTGAGGTATGATCGCTTTAGAATTTGCTTGGCTTTAGACCGAGGGCCTTAATGCTGATCCTAAAACCACATTTGAAATGATCTGGTCTGCTGCCAGCAGAGTCATTTTTACCAAATACACGTCCATGCCTGGGCTTGTCTATCCCGAGGAGGTCTATAATTCATAATTTCATCAGGTTTTGTGACTCTAATGATACAGTGAGCTCCATCTGCTTCTTTGGCCCTATACTATTAGGGGGAAAAATGTGCTCATTCTAATATTAGGCCTATCAGTCTGATAGGTTTAGTAGATATGCTACAGAACCATCAATAATCAATACTCTGATCAGCAATCCTATGATGTTTTAACCAATAGCAAAGTTCATTAAAGGGGTCCTATTATGCTTTTTCACTTTTTCAACTTTAGTTAGTCTGTAATGTTGCTGTTTGAGCATAAAAAAGATCTGCAAAGTTACAAAGCTCAAAGTGCACTTCAAAAGGAGATATTTTATTATCTTAGATATTTACTTTTCAAAAACTACAACGAACGACTCGTTTGGACTACAACGCATATTTTATCGACGAATGGGACGAGACCTGGTTGAGCTGCACTAGAGAAGGCAACGAGTGTTATCACTATGTCGGAGACATGCTAGCTTTCCCAAGGCAGACGAACTTAGAGTGGTTACAATCATCCGGGTTTAAATCGCGCTCAAATTGATTTGATTTTGACACAATATTTACACTGAAGCTCGCAGGCGGCTATGGTAAGTAGCCGGCGTGACATTTCCCGACCAGGCGCCGAGTGCTGCCAATCACAACACACACTGGCCCAGCTAACCAATCACAGCACATTTCGTATTTCAGAAGGCGGGCCTTCATTTGATACAGGAACTATTCGAGCCGTTCATGCCAGACTGAGGAGAGAGGTATTGTAATAATGTAAAATATGTGAAAAATAATGTGTTTTTCGAACAACCTAGTATGAGAGCCTGTTCTAGTACACCCCAAAAACAAAATCAAGACTTTGTCAAAGAGCATAATAGGACCCCTTTAAAGGCCAATTTCAACTACAGTAAATGCAGTTAATCCACTAAATTAACGCTTCTTTGAACACAGAAGGTAATAATCCAAGTCTCACTTAATTAAACATGATGTAAGCAAATTTTAATAAATAGTATGCAAAAAAGAATTGTACTTGAAAGGTATCATTGAAATAGCACGCTAAGACCACCCTTACCTGTGAGATATGTTTGCAATTTCCTATCTATCGACACCGGTATACACAGCCAAACGTTCTAAAAGGAATAGAAAGAGGAAAATAAGGAGACCAAAGAGCGACAGAACAAAAAAAGAAGCAAAATGAGAGTAAACACTGGCAAAGCATTTGATCGCTGGAGGGAGCTGAGAGTTTCAAAGTGTATAAAAATGGATGCCAAGCTCGCTTTGCTTCTGCTTGACAGGTAAAAATACCAAAGGGCAGAAAGGTCATGTCTGGTTCTGGTGGAAGTTTGTTATTTATAGTTCTTTCATAGAGATTATTTAGCAAAGATGTTTGTGAGTAAGCAGTAATATTCAATTTAAGAAAAAAAAATTGATAAATTGAATTCAAGATATATTCTTAGAAAACAAAACAAGACTCAATTTTTCTCAGTGCATTTTATTGTGAGTTTCTTTACCCTAAAATAAGACAAAATGCTGGTTAAAAATGATTTTGCACTTTGTAATTTGTATAAATTCAGATATTTGGTCTTCGGAATGTATGGAAATATGTTACAGTATGTAAATAGTTTAAACAAGGCAGTACAATACACACCTACACTTATGTTCGCTTTAATTGAAAAATTGTCATAACAGATTATGCATGAAGATAGCAGAACTGTATTGGTTAATATTTTGACCATAGGAACAGTAAAGGTTGTAGGCCACTAGGTACAACATCTGGTGTCAAGTTTATGGGCTGCTCAACAAGCATGATGTCCGTCCTAATGTGAAGCAAATGGCCTGAAGATTGAAAAAACTCCTTTTCTCTGGATTTAGAAATATATTTATTTTTTAATTAAGACTTTGTCAGATATTTTTTATGACATTTTTATTGTTAGGTTTACAATTTTGTTTTCTCAAAAAGACATTTGATGCCTGCAGTTGGTTAAGTAATTACAATGGTTGAACACTTGTATAATATTATAAATGTAGTTTGAAGCACGTTTATAGCCGAAAATAGATTTTGTTCCATGGAAAATGGAAGCTCATGGTCCTCTGCTTTTCGTCCTCTTGGGCTCATAAATTGTTCAGTGGGTTTCGTAAATGAATAAATCAAGTATCCTGAGGTTCTGAATGAGTCGCCGGTAATACATGTGCATCTTTGTATTTCGGGATTTCATATTTTAACAACAGATTTCAGATGTTATTTGACGTTCAAAGACATGCAGGTTATCAAATACATGTGGAACCATTTATGCAGTGATTTTTGGTGGTATATCCACAATTCTTACAGTGTGTTCCTTTGAGAGGAATGCAAAAGGATAAGAAGT